AMMAWTCCAGAGTCCCCCATACCAGTTGACCTGGGCAGAAAACATCTGTGTTCTTACAAGAATAAACAGAAAAGGAAGCTTTGCAAGTGTAAGATTCAGTTATGCTTGCTGGTGGATTTTTTTTTTCTTTTTGAACGCAGCACCTTTACAATGAAATGGAATTCTCCTATACTACAAGAGAATCAGTGTCAAAGTGAAAATCCTGATCTTACACTTCTTGTGTCTCACTCACAGGAACCACAGAAATAGTGGAAATTTTAGTCACATTTAGCATGACAATATTCAACTCCCTATTTCCAAATTTGGTACTGTAATTTTATCCAGAAGTTTAYTGCAATAAACAAACACATTGTAGTTTACTAGCGAAAAGAAAAATTAACTTATTGACAGCAGTCAGGCAGACTCCTAACTTCTTAAAAATGTATCATAGACCTCACCTATTACCCAGTTAGGGCAAACCACACAGCCAAACTGACACCAAGAAATATCTAGAAGGTAAGCAGTAGTTCCTTTAGGAAACTTTGGTCTTGTTTACCATTTTAGCCAGCTAGTAATTTCAAATTTCAGYCTTCTTGGACAGCAGCAACCTCCATGGTTTAGAAAGATCCTCTGTATGTACACCGAAAGAGTACAATAGCTGAGTTCCAGACACCCTCTCTGTATCCATCTGATTTAGGTATAAAGATCCTACATTTCTGCAATTTGCATGATTTTGAAAGATTCAAGACAACCAACAAGCAATTAAGATTTATTCTTATGACAGAGAAATGTCATCACATAATACATCTTATTTTATTTATATCCCATGAACATCACAGCAATTCCAGGAACTTAGAAYACACTGAATGGTCGCTTGTATTTACCTTCCTCGATACGCTTCTCTTTACGATCCTGTGGAAGAAAGAGAACATTTATCATTATCCTGCTAGAGAAGGACTTTTCATCAGATTGGGATAAGAGAACAGCACTTCTTGTGTTTCAACATGGACTACATGGAGATAGCACCACACAGGATCTTATGGGTCTTTTCTACCCTAAATGGTTCTACGAACACAAATTCTAAAACTAAAAAATAACAAGGCATCTAGCTTCACCTACTAAAGACCTGCTCAGATTGACCTCACATCTAGGTACTCTCACAAGCCAGCAGAGACTAATTCCTGCAAGGCATTTTTCACCAAACTAGTTGCGTCTCAGATAATTTGTATCTTAGTCTTTACCTCCTCCTTCTGACTGAATAATCCAATTTAGAGGTCTAATTAAGGATAAACTTCTTAATATTTTGCCTAAACATGCCTGTGCTCACTTTCAACCCATCTGTCCCTCACTCTGCAGTCCTGTACCTTTCTGACAGGTACCATTACAGTACACAGACACTGTGGATAATGCCCAGATTCTTTCTGCTGGATAAAACCAGAAGATTTGCTATAGCCTGGCAATTTCTCTCTTGCTTTCCCAGAAACACAGCRAACATTCCTCAGAGAAAAGAATATGACTATTGTGTTTTATGTGCTACCAGGRAAAGAATAAAAATCCCCAAACATCACTAAAGGAACTGGAATAAAAGAAAGCAAATTATCCTGGACACTCATTAAAGACTTCAGCATGACAAARTATTGCAGAGGTACAGAAGTCTCAAGCACATTTATATCAACATTGCTCAGCATGTTTCCTAAARCTTGAATTTTCAGTTCACCCTAGCAAACAACATTCCCTACAAATATTCTATTAATTTATGTTAGTGCTTCRTGGTTTATGACTTGATCTAAAATGCTACTTCTGTGCAAAAGCGGAAAATAAAAGTGTTTTACAACAGCCACAAATTCTTTACTACAAACAGCCACTGTCTGCCTGTGAGCATTTTTTTATGTATGTATATAGCTGAGATTTTTCGGTATGACCTAGCATTGCTCAGATCCTGATGCCCATAGTTTAGGAGTTAGAATGGAAGCAAGATAAACCTTCCAAATTCTTAAAACATCCACCTGAGATCAGACACTGCAATTATCACAATTATTCTTCTCCATTTGCTTCACGAAATTAAGAGAAATGGTCAAGCAGTTGCACAGAGATATTGCTAGGACTGTCATCCATAAGCTTCCTGYTTATTTAAAGTTTAAAAAGCATAGTTCGTGCAGGTCAACTGCTGAAAGTAAGAGTAACTTTTGATTAATTTTCACTGTCAGTGCTACCGAGAATACTGATCAGGCTATTTTGTGACTGCAAAATAGCCTGATCAGGCAAACTGTGAATGGCCATACTCGAGGGTACAATAAAGGGCTCCTAGAAAAAATGGACTTTACAACCAGTAAMAGGCTTTGAGACAACAGGCTAAAGRGCTCCCAGAAAAAAATGGACTTTACAACCARTAACAGGCTTTGAGACAACAGGCTCGCTATCAGCCTTCCTTCCCTCATTACTTTAACGGTATTAATCATTTCTAGGTGCATGAGGATCCCACATATTGAGACGCCACGCAGATCTACATTTCACAAGCCGGTGTTTTGGCGTTCGCTGATGTTCAGCGTTGTCGACCGACTTACCCTGTCAGCTTTTAAGACGAAGATCCAGAAGAGGAGGGGGCCTAAGCCGTAAGCAGCTCCTAGAAAGGACGTCCTGGGTGTCGGGCGGAAAGTAGGGTAGACGTTCATTGACTTCGCATAGGCCCAGCGGAGCAAAGCGGGATCTTCCTGGGGTGCAAAGAGAAGGGCGGTGAGGGGTGAGGCCCACGGGGCTCTGCAGTGACCCCATTACCCGGACACTGCGGCCAAGGCACACCGGGAAGGGCACCAAGGTCACGGGGAGGGCGGGCAGCGTTCCTCCGGCACGATCCCGGCCCCAAGCACGGYAGGAGCGAGCCCCGCTCCGGGACACCGCCGGCTGAGGCGAACGAGCCCCGCGCTTCCCCCGCCGCCCCCTCACGCCTCTCCCTCCCCACTCACGATGATGGCGGGCCGGCTGGGGTTGTTGAGCTGCAGCTGGTACTGCCGCTTGAGCCGGGAGCGGATCGCCAGGCGCTCGGCCTCGGCGCGGCGCTTCTCCGGCGATGACTCGTAGGTGTCGGGGTCGAGCTCGGCGGGCAGCGAGACGAAGCGGTTGGGCCGGTACAGCTTGGCCGCTGAGGGAGGCGGCCCCGTCGCCATCTTGGAGAGCGGCGGGAGGCGGTGCCGGCCCCGCCCCCGGGAGCTGCCGCCTCCCCTCACGGAACCGGCGCCACAAAATGGTTTGGGATGAAGACATCTGAGAGTTTTTCCTGTCCCAGCCCCGCTGTTATGGGCAGGGACAGCGCCCACTAGGCCAGGTTTATCAGAGCTCCATCCAGGCTGCCCTTGAATACCTGCGAGGGATGGGGCGTCCACAACTTCTCTGTGCCAGTGCCTCACCACTCTCAGGGTAAAGGATTTTTTTGGTAATCTCTAACCTAAACCTACTCTTTCGATTTGAAYCCATTCCCCTTCATCCTGTCACTACATGCTATTGTAAATAATCTTTCCGCACGTTTCTTGTGAGTTCCCTTCAGGTACTGTCACCTCAAAGACTTCTCTTTCCCAGGCTGAACAAAGCCTCACCACACTCAGGGTAAAGGATTTTTTTGGTAATCTCTAACCTAAACGTACTCTTTCGATTTGAACCCATTCCCCTTCATCCTGTCACTACATGCTCTTGTAAATAATCTTACCGCATGTTTCCTGTGAGTTCCCTTCAGGTACTGCAAGACCACGATTAGATCACCTCAAAAACTTCTCTTTCTCAGGCTGAACAAAGCCAATTCTCTCAGCCTTTCCTCACAGGAGAGGTGCCCCATCCCTCTACTCAGTTTGGTGGCCTCTTGTGGACTCACTCTAAGCAGGTCCATGTCCTTCCTGTGCTGGGGTCCCCAGAGTTGGGTGCAATTCTCCAGGTTAGGTCCCAGCAAAGCAGAGCAGAGGGGCAGAAACCTCTCCTTTGCCCAGCTTTGCATACAGCCCAGGATACACTTGGCTTTCTGGGCTGCGAGTGCTCAGGGCTGGGTCGTGTGCTGACTGTTATCCACCAACATCCCCAAGTCCTTTTCATCAGAGCTGCTCTCGATCTGTTCATCCCAAAGCTTATGTTAATAYTGGGGTTGCCCTGACAGGAGCGTCTCCAGGAGTCACACCATATGTCGTACAGCATTGTCCAAACACTTCTTGAACTCTGTCTGGTTTGGAGCTGTAACCACTTCCATAAGGAGCCTGTTCCAGTGCTCAGCCACCCTCTGGGTGAAGAATCATCTAATGTCCAACCTAAACCTCTCTTGGCTCAACCATAAGCCATTTCCTTGGATCCTGTCACTCTTTGCCAGACAGAAGAGATCAGCACCTGTCCCTCCACCTTCCCTCATGGTGAAGCTGTAGACTGCAATTAATTTACACTGTCAGTGCTAGAGAGAGCTTCATTATAGCTACGCTTGAACATTAATTCCTTTTTGAACTGAAKAAAAAATCCCTATGTCTGAACACTRTTCCATGTTACMCAAGAAGYGTGTTGYAGRCAGRCTGGTATYAGCAAAATCCTACTGACTTTCAGCTTCAAATTGTCCCATTGATTCTTTAACCAAGGCTGGGCTGAGTGGACAAAATGCCAGGTAATCTCCAGGTTTTTCCTGAGGTGACTCAGCACCCTGACAGGTTCAGGAATCGTCCCCTGCTTGGTGAGCACGGGGCAAAGAAAGCAGGACTTTGACCTTACACTGCTTTTTGGCTGGTGTGTGCCCAGGTGGCCAAAAAGGCCAGTGGCAGCCTGGCCTATATCAGGAAAAGTGTGGCCAGCGGGACAAGGGCAGTGATTGTGCCCCTGTACTTGGCACTAGCGAGGCCACATCTTGATAACTGTGTCCAGTTCTGGGCCACTCACAGAATGGGAAAAACATTGAGGTGCTGGAGCAAGTCCAGAGAAGAGAAACAGAGCTGGTGAAGGGTCTGGAGTACAGGTCCTGTGAGGAGCCGCTGCGGATGTTTAACCTGCAGAAAAAGAGGCTCAGGGGAGACCTTATTGTTCTCAATAAATATCTGAAAGGAGTTTGTAGCCAGATGTGGAGTTGGTCTCATTTAACAAGCGGTTGGACAAGAGAAAATAGCCTCAAGTTGCACCAGGGGAGGTTTATATTTGTTATTAGGGGAGAAGTTTTCACCAAAAGGATTGTTCAGCATTGGAACAGGCTGCTTGGGGAAGTGCAGTCACCTTCTCTGGAGATATTGAAAAGACATGGCATGTAGGGMCACTGTTTAGTGATGGACTTGGCAGTGTTCAGTTAATTATTGGACCTGATGATCTTAGAGGTATTTTGTAACCTTTGTAATTCTAAGGCTTTGACTTTAGGAAGTTTTTGTCCTGTCAGTATTAAGAACTTTGTTCTCCAGTGTTGTGAAGAAATATATGCAAGTTGTCTTTCTGGAAACAAAGTAGCCAGTAAACAACTTTACTGTTGTGTTTTTTTCTCCTGATGTACAAAACAGTGATAGTAGTTATGCTGATGGGGACCCAGTAAGTTAATGGTTGTGTATATATTGTTATGGCCTGATTTACACTGTGGTAACTGTAGGCTCAGGTAATGTTGGATGAGGGATTACAGTTTCCTCCAAAGCATACACAAAATAATACTGCTGACTTTATTGAAGATGCTRTGCTTTGGCACTGCAATAATAGAGCAAAAGCTCTTCCTCACATCCTACAATTTCACACTTTTCCCTAAACACTTGGAAAATAAACTACCTCCTTTTAGTCTGAGCTGCTAATTAACAGTTGTTACTTGTTTTAGCAGGATGAAATACAAGTTGGATATTTCTGCAGTACCTTGAGGACCCCCACCACAACACGCAGYTTTAGGTACTTTTCCCAAAGTACGAGCCTATAGCCCTCTCAGAAATCTTTTCAGCTTTTCCACCTTCATCTTCTTCACAAACATGTGTCTGCAAATCCAAGTGAAACCCAAGCTGCTTCATTCCCAGTCAGGTCCCAGGGAAGTACTTCCATGCCTGGTTGCTTTTTCTCCCAAGGCTTTCAGCTTGGGTCAGTGGCTCCTATTGCATGGAAAAATTTACTSCCTTCACTTTCCCATTTCATGACCATTTCATTTAGTGAGCTCTTTGTGTCCAGCTCCACAATTTTCTCTCTCCATAACCAGCACATAGAGAGCTACTTTAGCAGCACACAACCTATACCAGCAGCACTGCCATGTGGCACTCCAGGATACTTTCATCTCTGAGTGTTCCCAAAGCCTTGGCAGCCTGTGTTTCACAGCCCCTGCACAGCTTGCTGCTTTAAAAGCTACTCCTCYCTGCTCTCTCTTATTTCTTAATAAATGACACGTGCAGCCTTGAAACAGATTGATTCCTGGCAGGAGCAGGAGTGCAGGCTGGATTAGTGAACTGGGAAGGGTTAGCTGCTCTGTGGGAAGTGGTGGGKTTTTTTCCCTCTTTGCTGCATCACAGAGTGGAACAGAAGACTCCTGCTCCTGCAGATCTCCCAAAGGACTTCAATACAGCCAGATGCTTTTCCCCCAATCTGCTGACTGCCGAGGTCTGTCCATAGTGGTGTGTGACAGTTCCTCTGGGCAGGAGCAAAGATGGTCTTGTGGTGAAGTCACTTGGCAAAGGCAGCGGGTTCAGCTCCCAGCCCTGTTGCAGAATCTTTGTGATCTTATCAGTGCAGGTCCAAGCTGTGCCTTCTGCCTCTCCCCAGAGCTCATTGCTGTGAGTGTGCATGCTTGGCATGCAAACAGTGCTGAAATTAATTCTACTGGGAGAAAAACAGAAGGTACAAAGCAACATTTCCATTAACAATGTAATGTACTGTATTAGAAAACCGAGCAGCCAGCTGCTATGCTGCAAACACCTTTGCATTCCATCTCTAATCGCTAACTCATCCTCCTTCCCAAAGGATCAAAATCCTCACAGGGAGTCTTCTCTGAGAGATGGCACTTGTTTCATGGGCAAGAAAATAACTAAATYCCTTCCAGAGAAACATATTCTCTGACACTGAAGCCTGTGCATTGCAATTTGTTGTTCTCACTCCTCCAGGGGTGAATTTGTGCGCTTTCTTTGTTTTGTAACAGCCATATCTCTACCTTTAAAACACATCCTTCAGCAAAAGCCCAAGTTAACAATGCATAAAGCAAYGCAGAAAAAACAGAAATGCTGCATTCAAAGCACTTGACTGAAATCAGTGATTGTTTTTTTCTCCTGCTGACAGGAACTTCTGCACACAGTGAGAAATGCTRCGGTGACAAACTGTGCTCCCGTGAAGACCTCCTGTGTCATCTGCTCCTCCAGGACCACCCTGTGGCAGACTCTGAACACAGTCTTGCTGCTACTGCAAACTACCTTTGAAACAAAAGATTTTGCAAGAATGGACACTCTTCTTTTCCCTGTTTTTGTCAGCAAGATCTTGAAGCTCATTTGACTACCCTCCTGACTGTGTGTGTTGACCTAAGGCAAGCAGCAGGAATATAAAACAGGMTCTGGTGAGGGTGGAGCCCATCTCAGTAGGGCAGCACAGGCTTGAACGAGAATATGCTGGTCATAAAACTACATCCTTGTGGGCTCACACACCAAGGCTTAACAGGTAAGACCCCAAGTATTTTTTCTTCTTTTTAATCAGGACTGATGTTTATTGAATGTTCAAGGTTGGAAGTATTGAATTAAATTGACAATTATCCTATGAAAATGCCTTTGAAGTTTACATCATCTGTTTCMTTTGCCATCAGCAGTAACCAAAATGGAAAGAACAGTCAAGAAAATTAATCTTTGTCCAGAACCCCGTGGAGGGTTGACCTTGACTGACTGCCAGACATCCACCCAGCTGCTGTCTTCCTCCTCTCCTTGAAAGGACTGGGGGAGAAAATGACACAGAAAATCTCATGGCTTGATGAAAATGCAGTTGATAAGAAAAGCAAAAGCTGCACATGGAAGCAAAGTAAAAAGAGGAACTCATTCACTACAAYGCACCAGCAGGCAGATGTCCAGCTATTTTTTTGGGAAACAAGGCCTCAATAAGCATAGTGGTTGCTTGGGAAGATAGATGACATCACCACAAATGTCCTCCCACCATCCTCCTTTCCTTCAGCTTTTATTTCTAAGGAGGGAATCATATGGCATGGGATATCTCTTTGGTTATTTGGGTCAGCTGTCCCAGTTATTCACATTCCCAATCGATTGCCCATCTCTGGCCTGCAGACSTTCAAAGCTGTTGGTGGGCTGTTGGAGAGAAAGCCCTGACACTGTGCTAGCACTGCTCAGMAATACCCAAACCCTGTGTGCTATCAGTGCTGTTTTAACCACAGATGAAAGGCACCARCCCTCTAGGTTGMTGTGAAGAGTTAACTCCATCCCAAMYAWMCCCAGTACAMAGYCAGTTTGAATGCTGTCTGAGACACCTCTGAATTTCAGACCATTCTCATACTGGTTAGCCTGAATTCAGACATACTTCTATGACACTCTTTGACTGAAGCTGCAAATAACTTCTACCTAGAGTTTAAAGTAACCCAAGATATCTTCAGTTTAGAACKGTGTGATTTTGCTGGTGGCTTTTCAGTCATGCCCCAAAAAGAGAGTGGATTTTTTTGACTGTGTACACAAAGTCACATCTTTTCAGTGTGACCAGACTAAGTGACTCTGTGCTTCAAGTGAATGAGAAAAAAATTAACTTAAATCACAGACCTGTCTACCTACCTCCAAGGTGACCATGCCTGATGCTTTCAGAAGAGACAGGTTAAATATGCTGTCARCTCGAAAAATAGTGGTGCCTGTCAAGCTTGTGCTGAGTGCTTGAAGTTGCCCTGTTTGAATCAGTTGTCAGGCTGGGTCAACATGTTTCTGGGCTCTGTTGGGAATTCTCTCTGACCTTTTGCAAAGAAAGCAAGCTGGGAAACAGGGGGGAAGCTGAAAAAATGACTCATCTCACAAGAAGGTTCCTGAACMGAGGCCCCTTACTTCTAATTCCCACATGTAATGGGCAAGAAGGGTCATTTAGGTCCTGTTCCCATTCTATATAAGTGAATAAATACTGCTGAGTGTGCTGCTGACCTTCTTCTGAAGGGGCATTAGTATCAGGCATCCTTGTGCATGGATATATCCATGGTAAAAGCCAAATGGATATAGATGAGGAGCTGTGAAAGAAGCATTAGGATCCAGCATAGTTTATTTGAGCTCAGAACAGGTGTATCTAACCACAGCATATAGCTATATTAATAAATTGTCCAGATACATGCAATTTATTCTGGGTTAAGAACTGAAGTCCCCAGTATCTTTACCTTACTGTTGTTTAAAGGAAGCCTGGCATGCAAAGGAAGGAGTTAAGATGGTTAGGGGAATTATGAATTGTAAGTACAGCCAACAGACCACCCATAAATGTGTATCAAATGTTGAGCTCAGCAGGAGTTAGTTACAAAACTAGGACACTTAATGAGTCACGAAGTGCCAAGAATAATGAGACATGGCATTAAACAAACCATTTCTGCCTYTCCTTGGCTTGTCCAGAGACGATGGCACTCAGCCCTCTGCTGTTTCAGCTTTTCCTGTCAAAATAAAACTTTTGACTCATACTGAATTATAGGTGTGGCTGAGCTGCCTCAGCCAGGGAGGTAGTGCTGCCTGGGTGGCCCTGGTGGGAGACGGATAAACTGGCAGCCAGCATCTCTTCTCCACTCCTTTACAGGTCATTGATTGTAGCATTTTGTGGTGTTAAATTCTTACCTCTCCCTCTGCTTCCAGATCCTCGAATGAGAAACTAATAGTTACATAACAATGAAGAGTGAGAGAAGAGCTCTTAGAGTAGGGTGGGAATTAGAAACATATCCTATATGTCTGAGGCTAAGTCCTGTTGTTGATTAAGTGCAAAAGGGCCTAGGCAGTCAAGGGTTAACACTATTCCTAGACTTCCCTTTACAATGGCTGTCAGGAACTGGAGAGCTCCAGCAAGCAGCAACCACCCTCCAGCTGGCCCAGGAACAGCACTAAAGCTGAGATCCTTGCCTTAGARCTGGCCTGAACTATGTGAAATGTGTGTTGTTCCTAGGCTTGGCTCAAGTTCCTAGCTTGACCTCAGGCCTTCCTTATTGCTTTGTCCTTGCTTGCACATCACTGGACTGCAGCTGCTTATGGCTATTGCCACTGCACTTGCCCTCATCACTTTGTCTGGCTCCCAGCTGAGCCCAGTCTTGCCATTCCTGGATTGCACTGTCACTCATGGAGCAGTGCTCAGCCTCACGGCTGTAGGGATTGTATGTGGTGCCAAGGGTGAAGTCAGATTGAAGGGTGAACTCAGTAAAAAATTCAGAAAACACTTGCTGACAGGAGTCAGTGAGAAGAAACTCAAGTGTTGCAGGAAAAGGCATCTTTTCTGGCCTGCTGCTCCTGACACAAATCATCACCAGTAGCTGATGTTCCTTTTTACCCCATTTTTCTGCAGGTGTTTTGCTCTGCCCACAAAAGAAAGGATAGATCTGCCTCATTCAATTTGGGCATCAGAAAAGTAGCAGTGCCTACTGTGAMCTCTGCCTGCTTCTCTCTGACATGATGGAKGGAGTTTCAGATGGTGAGTCTTCCWATCCCAAAACATGTYGAGATTCAATTTTTACTCCATGGGTTGTGGAAACAGTTTAGTGCAGCCCAGACACTTTCCAGTTCCAGGAGTATCCTGTGTGACAGAGCCATGGCTTGTGCAGCTTGGAGCAAAATGTAACRCAGCCTTTATTGCACCTGGAGGATGCTCCTATAAGTGTTTCCTAGACTCATTGCTGAAATGCTGGACTTGCAAAAGARAGCCCTATGAAAAATTACTCTGGCCCACAAAGCTTTCAGATTCTCTGCAATGTTTTATTTGAAGTTACCTGATGAGTTTGGCTGGATTTTCTTACACAAACAGAATCAGACTGTGAGGAAAAGCCTGCTGTGGGAAGATCCAGCCAGGAGGGAGCAGGGAAACTTTAATCCCCAACAAATATGGCCACTCTTACTCGTCAAGATAGAAATAGAGTACCCCAACTGTTGGTTTGGTATTAGGGATTTTGCCTGTCAAGGGGGAGTCCACTTAAGAACATTATCTTGGAAGAAATCACTTTGTGGGATCATCAAGTCCAAAACTTCTTAGCCTGAATTTAATTTTTAATTCAAAAAAAAAGAAGGACTTTGTAGAAAATTAGTTTTAGAAGTCACAAATTTCTCCCTTGTGCAAGAAGACACTCCAACCCTGTGTAGGGAAAAAAAAAAWTCCAGCCTGAAGTCTGTGATAGATGAGCCTTGAAGGAGAAGCAGCTCTGTTGTACTGCTACATAGAAAAGATACTCAATTTGTTTTGCTTTATATATTTTATTAGAAGTCTGGAGCTTAAATTTTAAATCAAGTCTTTGGGAGCACACTGTGAGGCAGACCATCAGTATGAATAAAATATGTTAGTAGGAACATGTTGAATTTAGTGTGACTGTTTGGTAATCTCTGTATTGCAGTGGGGAAGGACTTGTGGCAATGCAGAGTGGGTTTTTTCTTTGCTCAAGTAAAAGACAGAATACAAATGAGGCTGTTGCTGCAGAATGCCAGCTAGTGGGAAAGATACACCATGTCCAGACTGGGTATATCAGTGTTTAAAAAAAAATGAAGGCAATACTAAAACTTTAAATTTCCRACCGACAGAGACAGAAAGGCAGTGATATCCCTGGGCTCTTGTTACCATCGTATAAATCAGGAACATTCACTAAACAAGAAATACACCTTAGCATTGCAGAACTCTGTACCCATCAGGCTTCATCTGCCTTGTTGGGGAGACTGGGTAAGGCAGCTGCCAAGGTTAAAAATTGTCTCCTAAATTAATGTTTTCATACTTCTCTAGATAACCTCTTAGCAGAGGGGTTTGCTCTTCGTGTAAACCATTTTTATTTACAGTTCTGTGTCACCCTAATCCAACCAGCGTAATTGTGATTTCAATCCTTACAGGAAAGATTTCTACCTCTGGTGTAATTCTTGCAGAACTCTTTAGGCATAGTGCCTTTCCTGCTTTCCAACTGACACTCATTCCATCCCCTTACATGCATCTGCATCCTCCCTACTCACTGTGAATGTTTTAGCCTGCCCCAATCCTCTTCTACTGCACTCTCACCACTGCTGAGGGGCTCTTTAGTCCCTCAATGCACTTCTTTGACTTCCTCTGCCTCCTTCACTTGCTGCTCAGTCTTCTCCCTGCTCTCTACTGGACAYACCTCACCCACTTTTATCCAAACATCTCTAAAAGTAGATCCAGTTGTGGTGGCAACCACTTGCAAAATTCTTAACAGCTGACACCTAACAACTTYGTGGTACTCTACTCCCTGATTCTTCTCATTTTCTTTGAGTCAAGCAATGTGTACACAGCACAATGGGAGCAGAAGCAAAGTTCTTMCTCCTTTGCTTTGAATTATTTCAGAATTTTCCTGTGTGCTGAAGCTAAGGGAAGTGCAAGCAGCCATCATACTGCTTGCTGGYTCTCCTCAGCACATGGAAGCTGATCAAAATCAGTTTCTACAACCAGCCTTTTAGTTTTACAGACCAGTGTCATGCTGAAGGCTGTGCAGAAGGGCCCATCTATCTCTGTACTAACGCTTTCCATGGTTAATCTTTCCTTTCTTTGTGTGCAACACACCATCAGGAGAGAACTTGTCATGGCTCAGGCACAGGCATGGTATCCCCACCTTCTGGTGCTGTGTTKGTCTTGCTGCAAGCTCCAGGGAGGCAGCTCTCTCCTGCTCACAGCAGGGTCCACCCATCCCTGCAGTGACCAGAGCCACGAAAAGAATGACTCCCAAGGGAAATTGCAAAGCCTGGTGTTGTTATGTCTGTATGAGTCTTTCATAGCTGGCTGAGATGCCTCTTCTGCTGGACCCATTAATAGGGAGGTTGCATTTCTCCATAATTTCCCTGAGGCCTGAACACATCAACTGAAAGAAAAAGGGTTGTGACTCACCCCTTGACCTGCTTCACTCTTTCTGGTATTGTCCTTCTCATGAAGAATTGAGAATGTCTGGGATACACTCATGGGAGAAGCTAATATGCTAAAATCTGTCTCAAATCCAAATGAAAATTTGAAATACAATAAAACTGCACAGCAGTCACGAAAGTTAAAGTGTTTTTTCTTTACAGTTATATAACTTCTCCCCAGCACAGAGCAAGACCCCATTTCCCATCCCTTTGCTTTGCCTTGGGGGGCTATGTTGACTCCTTGACCCTTCCTTTTTTTACTTCACTTGAACAAAGCAGGAAGGCTGAGCCCCTAATCTTAAAAATCTGCTGTATATTTTTTAAGATCAATGAAGTTATGAAGCTTTGGTTTCCTTTTCTTACACATAGTTTTTGCAGCAGGATCACAAGGGTGAAATCAGCAATGCTGTCCTTTTTTCAGACAATGATAGGAAAGGTCTTTCTGGCCTGCAGAGCAGTCTCAGAGTAGAGTCATCTCTGGCTGTGCACTCCCACCTCCAACAGTTTTTAGGGAATTTACAACTTCAGTTGACAGCTTATGGATAAAAGTCCATGCCTATTTTCTTGCAGCGCAATGTCTCCCAAATACCAGCATCTCTCTCTTGTTGAGTAGACCTATATGCATCTGGAACCAGCTTTACCTTGATTTTTGACTCTATTTGGGACAAAGCCTTCTGACTKACCTGTCATGTAACATACTGCTCATGCAGATTTTTCAGATGTGCTGTGCATGGTGCACAGRAACACAACTGCAACATGTGACACTGTGGTGAGAGGTCTCTTCCCTGGGACCTGTTGGAGGGAGAAGCTGTCAGTCACTCCATTATCTTGACCTTGTTCAGAAGCAAAGGTGAAAAAGTATTTCTTGATCCCAGAGTGCAGACAGTCACAGGTTTGATCAGGACTGAGTTTAAGCAGGTTCCTACAGAGAGTACTGCCCTGCTCATGGCCCTAGGGAGACCTTGGGGCACAGCATGCAGAGGCATGTCCCTAGGAGTTTGGGGCTGATGGTGTTGTTAGAATTGGCTTGTCCTCATCTAATACCTTATTCTTGGAGGAAAGGAAATGTCAGGACTGGGTGTCCCTTGGACAGAGTATTTGTTGATCAGAGCACAGATATTTTGAGGTGATTTCTTCTGGTAAAGGATTCCTTTCTTGCTTTCAAGTTGCTTGTTTCTTATGCCCTGTGGCAGTGAAAGGCCAGTATGTGATGAGGAAAAGGTGATCTTTAGGATAGGAGAAGTGAATCAACAACCCCACAGCTGGAACTGAATTTGTGACATTGCTTGGCACCCTTCTGCTCTTATGTCTTGACCCGTCTCAGGATTTCAAATTTTTGGATCCAGTCCAGGATTTCTGAATAAGCCATCAGTCTTTTCTAGCAGTAAGAGGTAATGCTGCAAGCATAGTGGGTTAATGATGATRGTGATAAAAATACCAGTAAAAATAGTCTGACAARATTTCCCCCAACARCCATTTTCACATATTTTCTGTTTTKATGCAACATTTCTGGGGTTTTTGATAGAAACAGAAGCACAGTCTCATCTTTCTATTAAAAACACCATTTTTGTTTGTTTATTTTTCACCTCATTTTCCCCTCTTCATAGCAGTTGCTAAGGGAAACAGARGAGTAAACAAGAGGGAAAAGTGAGAGGGATAAAGGAAAAGAAAACAATTCAGATTTTGTTATTTTGAATCATTTTTTTCAACCAAACCCAGATATATCATCATAATAAAAACACAAGAAAACTCCTTTCAGCAAAAGCTGCTGGTTCTCTGTGCTTTCTCAAATAAATTCCTGCTGCACTGTGTCCCTGAGTGTAGCAAAGGCTAGAATGAGGTATCCAGAAAATGTTGTCTCCTGACAACATTGCTGGAACTGTAGAAATGCAATGGTAAACAGCAAATCTTACGTGTTTTCTTAACAACTATCCATACCTGCTGCTTCACTTTACAAAAGTAAMTTTAGATTGCTCCTTTCTGCACTAGTGATCCTCCTGAGACTCTGCACATGCTGGTCTGGTAGGTGTGCTGCAGGTATGCTGCAGGTGTGCTGGAATCCTGCTCTGAGAGGATTGTTATTATTATTGATGATAATAATAATATTATTATTATTATTCAGCTGCCTTTTCTGAGCTGAAATCAGTGAAGCTCTGCAGAAAGCAGGAGGTGAATAGCAGTGATGCAGCAAAACTGTTTCCTAGAAAAAATCTTTTCCACAAGGGTTCACATTGCTTTGCAGAGACCAAAAGAGTCAAAACAAGCTCTGTGAAATTTTAGGCAGTATCAAACATCTTGTAGTAAAACTGATGCTCTTTATTAAGCTCTAGAATACTTTTCCATTAGGTARCCAACAATTATGCACAGCCCAATGGGGAAGGGGGTTTGAGCAATGCAGTCCCAAACTAGCAAAATAGTGAAGGTTTCAAAAAGGAAAGGATCTCTCATCTARTTCAAAACTCAATATATGTTTTCAAGATATATCTCATTGCAGCAGTAAAGTAATAAGGATCAGAAATGATTCTGACCAGTATGCTGGGGTGTAGCCCAAAAAACGATTTCTAAAGAGAAAAAATAAAGTCTTATAAA